TATATATATAATAAAAAGTAGATCATCAATGATTAGTATTAATTTGAAATAATGACATCGATGTTAAATGAAAAAAAAAGAATATAATAAAAAATAAATAAATAGATCGGAAAAGATATAGATTACTGTATTTAAGAGATCAATGTCAATTAGAATTAATTATTGTCACGATTTCCAGGCGTTCGTCACGCGAGTTACAGGGACGCAAGGGGCGTCTCTCATTCGTACTTCTTCAGTTGGGAACATTTACCAACTAGAAGCCTCGAAGTGGACTGGCTTGATGCTCGTAACATTTGCCGTCGTCATTGCATGGACGCGGTATCTCTCGAGACACCACAAGAGAATGAATTCATCAAGCAGAGAGTAGCCAGAGGTAAACTTACGTGAACGTTAAATAACTCACGGTTCGTATCTGATAAATTTTCTCATTTAAGCTCTTATTTTAAACGTACACCTATTTATCCAAACGAATTTTTTCACGAATTATAATTACCAAAATTTCTTTCGTATAATCCGATGCACATTCGAAATTTCTAATAAATTATATTACTCGTCCGTGTGTTTTGCAAGGATCAATTTCAAGTACGCGTTTCGTAAGTCATGTAACATGTATGCTATTATCGAAGACGCAGTCCACTTTCACTCGAGTGATGGAAAAATAAAATTAAAGGAACGAAAGATATTTCGCGTATGTTACTTCTTTGGTAACTTATTATATAATAATCATAAATAATAATCTCCAGAGATTTTTTTTGGGGAGGAATAAATTTAAATCAGTTGCATAAAAAAAAAAAGAAGAAGAAAAGTCTATTTTTTATAACTCTTGATTCGTCAATTAATATTATTATACGTGCATACATTTTGCTGTTAACTCTTTCTGTAAATCAGTACTCTCCGTAACATCAATTTGGAATAAATACGTAAAAGGGATTAGATTTTCTAAGTGAAAATTGAATAATCCCGAATCAAGAGAAATATTATTTAACACGATTCCGTCGTTCAGGGAACGTGAGGTACATCTGGACTTCTGGACGTAAATGCAATTTTAACGGTTGCGACCGTCCCGATCTTCAACCGCAAAATGTCAACGGATGGTTCTGGTCTGGATCCGGTGCTAAAATCGGACCGACCAGCCAACGTAATTCCGGAGATTGGAGCCATACTGGTGGATACGGTCAGCCACAGCCAGACAACCGCGAGGCTGCTCAGGTACTGTGGTCTTTTCCATTCTCTCTTTACTTTCCCTTCGATTTCGTCCGTCTTTTTCTTTCGATTTTCCCATCTTCACTTATCCGATTCAATTTGATTGAAACTTCTAACAGTTCTTTTCTCTTTCTATACGATCTGTGTGTTCTAGTTCGTATTTCAAGAATGTTATTTCTAGATTCTTTTTTTTTATCCTACTAATCAATTTTAATATCGTGACTTTTGACTTGTGCTCGAAGAAGAAAGAAAGAAAGAAATAAAAAAAAAAGATACGAAAAATTGATTGATCTTTGAAAAAAAAAAGAAAATCTTGACTGAAACATTTATCATTACACAGGGCAACGATGAATCCTGCCTGTCCATTCTCAACAACTTCTACAACGACGGCATTAAATGGCACGACGTTGCCTGTCATCACGTAAAGCCATTCGTTTGCGAGGACAGCGACGAGCTCCTGAATTTCGTCGCCTCTCGAAACCCGGGAATCCGTTTGTAAAGGTGTAAACGCATTCATCGAGAGACAACCCAGACGAAATCCCACAACGGACGATAAACGCGATAATTAAGATGATATCGCTTCGCGGTTATCCCATATTGACGTTTATTTATGATTTACTAACCGATTATTGTTTTAATACGAAATTTTGAGACTCGTTTAAATTTTGTGCGATTCGTCGACGAGGAGACGGAAAAAAAAAAAATCTGAACGATTGGTAAAGCACGTACACACGAAGTTAAGTGGTGTAGCAAAAAAGTATTATATATTATATACAATATATGTCATCATTTTGTACCTTCCCTTTTTTCTTACATAAATATATAGTTTATAATAAATCCTTCGATTTTTTTTTGTACCATATCGTGAATGGGAGTTTCTTTTCAGATGATCGGGAATAAATTTTCAACGATTTTTTAAGATACCAATGTTTCATTTTGATTACAAAAGTATTTTATGTAAGATTATATCTACATTAATATCTATAATTATTTGTTCGATATTATAGAAGTATTTTTTTAATGATAGATCTACTTTATAGTAAATGTTATTTATTATTGGATTACGATTTAAATTCAAATATCGCAATAATATAACAGGAATATTTAGGATGCTGAGATAGTTTCAATCTCTAAAGCTGACACGCTGCTCTGTTTAAAAGGTAAATAGACGCCACCGAACACTTGCAGGCCAAACATCGTAATGTTTTCCACGTTCAAAGGTTCCCCATCGGGTATTTCTCTACCACGGTAGTAAGGCTTAAAACTATCTAACTTTAAGGAGACAGTTGAGAATTCTTCGTTCGACATCGGCGCCTGGATTAATGATATACCCAAACAAACAAAAAAAAATATAAAAAATAAGTAAACGTATTTACATATACAATTCCTCTAATTTCAATAGTGCATAAATTGATTTGATTTAAACTTACGTCGAAAAATTGCTCGTAAGTCAAGTCTTTGTTAGAATCAAGCCCATTATGTCTAAGAACAACCTTATAATGATTATTCTTGCCTTGTCCACGACAAGTAATGTCAATATTTTGGAAATCCTTCAAATTTAAATTAGTTGGAGTTCTCACGCCGGCAAATCCAGCTCCGTTTGGTTGAGGATTGAGAAGAGTAAAAAAGACGGCTCTTTGAAAGATTTGCGTTTTTTGCAAGACCAACGTGGCTTTAGATTTCCCGACTGTTCTTACGGTATCCGATATCTCTTGCCAATCGTCCACGTTATCCATCCTCGTAAAGTCGAACAATGTCATTTTTCTCCTACCATCAAACATCCCACTGGTTGTAGTATTATTGATGCGCAACGGCACGTAAAATGCCGCTTTCGCGGATCTTGTTTTATGCTTTTGTCAAGTCTGAGATATCGATCTTACAAGTATATATGTATCTTACCCGTTCGCTGGTTGCAAGAACGTGAGACCCATGAAGAAAGCAACGACCAAGCGATTATTCAACTTTGGCATTATCATTATGTGTGAGATGCGTGAACTCAACGACCTGAAATATTAAGATGTAGATAATGGAGTAGCAGGAAAATTGCATTAGCGTACACGTTAATTTAAATCTTGATTATTCGCGAAGCTTATCTATGATATCTTTTTAAGAAATTAACTATTATATTTGACGAAAATTGGATTTACTCAATTTTATTTATCATAGTATAGAGAAAATTGCATTTTATAAAAAAAAGAAATAATTTTCAATATTTCTATTCCACTCTCGAGAGAGAGAGATTCGCAAAACGAGACTAAATTATTTCATGTTGTATGATATATAACGATCAAAGTTAGTTGTACTTTCCCAGAAGAAACATCGTACGTGTATTCACAGTCTGCTCTCGATCTGTATAGTTCAAATACAACCTAAATCGTCTCTCAACGTTTTTTCGAGAAAAGTGTTCCTATATTATTCGTATTTTGTTTTAATTGTAAAACATTAGGTACGACATAACGTGATTATTTCCTCCTATAACGTGATTAATTTGTATCGCGTTATAAACTCTGAATCAGTGCAAATTAAATTAATATGGAAACAACGTTATGAGAATAACGTATTATAGGAGGGTTTACTATACATGATAACCAATTAATGCTAAACATATTACCTATAACATTATCTATCTCTTTCTATTTTATAAAAATTTTAAAGAAAAACAATAGATCAAAAATTTTAGTATTTCGTTACTTAAAGGAATGCTTCTTAACCATTATATACCTCTGCTTGATAAATTCGTTTTTAATAAGAGAAGGGTTCGATTCAAACAAATTAACTCGTTAATATTTTTTCAATTAAAGTAATTATTCTATTCGTTTATTTTTCCTAACATTTTGTAAAAAATCGAGTTCTTCTATAATTGTAGATACACGATTCTTAATACGTATTATACAGTTGACTGTATCTTACTTAGAAAATTATAATGATAAATTTGAAGAGAAAAGCTTTCATAACTTACAGTATAATTGATGTCAGGGCGCGGTACTGTGTCGCAGCAGTTGAGAAACACTGACTTACAATTAGAGTATTTGAAACTATTTGGATCAAGATTTAACCGCTAGATGGCACTGATTTCTAATGCACCATTCATATCGAGTTAATTCATTCATAGAGTGTTACCATATGAAAGAGAAGGACAAAAAATTAGATCGTAGCGGAGGGGAAAATAGTAGGAGTAGTTGTAAGGGTTATGTTAGGTTAGAAACGTTACGGCGTATCGTTAAGAGGTTATGAGACGTCGCGTATTACTTCGCAAGGGATTTTTACATTACAACTTACTGAAATACGCTTTCGTAGTTAAATTATAAAGAGAAATAATAGAAATATGTCTGTAGATACAAATACCGTGTCGTTCACTACAGCACCAGGCTTCTGTCCACAATGTGGATCAATTCTTCCTTTGCTGGATGAAAAAGGCCTTGTATCTTGTTATTGCTGCAAACGAAACTGGGGACCTCAAGGTTAGTAAGATTTACATATTTCGTTTCATGCTTGATGGTAGTGCGCACGTGCAAAAGTTTAGTGAAAACTTTTAATTCTCTTGCAAATAATTAGGTTCATTTGGTTTTGTCATCACTTTTGATAATTCTTTTGTAATTCACAGACAGATTAAATTATCTTATCTTAGGGATAATTAATAATAATTGATTATTTTTAACTACAGATTTAATATTTAAATGAAATACATGTAGTTCGAATGTAAGAGAAAATTTGTTGAAAGCTTTGCATTAGAAGACAAAATATTAATTTCCATTCTTCGCTATTACATTTTGTGTAATTTTTATCTTAGCATAGTATGTAAAATTAAATTACTTTCAGTATTCGGTAACATGGCTATGTCTTATACTATTCATTTTCAATCAAAGAATGCTTACACTCGTTTAAAAGTAACCGATGAGAACGATGAGGATGGTGATGGTCCAATAGTTGAACGTCGATGTCCGCAGTGTCAAAATGAAAAAATGTCATATGCAACATTGCAATTAAGATCAGCCGATGAAGGACAAACTGTGTTTTACACATGTACTAAGTGCAAGTATGTACTATGCGATAAGTGCACAGCTTATGTTTTAATTTCATTGAAAGTTAATAGCATATAGATGATAAGTTATTAGATTTACAAAATTCAATTGTGTAGATTAATGTATAACAAATTTAATTTTACGTTACAGATTCAAAGAAACAGAAAATTCATGATTTGAGTATGTTTTGGGTTTTAGCCTTTTCAAAGTAAAGAATTATAAATATGGGAGTTTAATTCATTTGAATACAATTGCACTCTCTTCTAATAAAACATAGAATTTTATTTATGATACATTCAACAAATGATGAATGAGGAGGGTATAAGTATTTTTATAACTCTACAGGGTCAATAGTACAATTTTGTTATAACAATATATGGGTATCTTAATTAAATGGTAATTAAGTAATTTGATATATACAGTATGTCAGCATAAAAGGTAACAATTATCTTAATAAATTCATTTTGATCCACTTTTAAAACTGTTATGACGTAGTGGTCCTTCGATTAAAAAATCTTATTAGTCATAAATTTTTTCTTCGATAATTCTCCTTCTTTATACGTCTCATTTGACGTTAACACACTGTTAGTTGCCCACATTCTAATAATATTTTATAATAGATATGCTATCTTGTGTCACAAGAAAAAGGTTTTCATAAACTAATAGAGGAACTTTATGTGAACTCTGAGTAGTAAAATTCTAAGAATTTGATTTTGTATTTTAAAAACTTACATTTGCAATTTCTTGCGAGGGCATTCTTATTATTGGACTTATATATAGTCAACTTTGTTTCATATTATTAATACATAATATAAAAGAAAAATTATTTAAATACATGTAATTATTATTTACCATTCTCAGACTAAACCTGCCGATTAGATGATACACTTATTTAAATTTTAATTAATTAATATTATTTTATTTTTTTAAATTTGAAGTA